CTGTTGGAAACCACTTCATGAATGAACTTTATGCAAGGTCTTGGCACCATGTTATTGCTATGGAATTTCATAGAGTGAGATCCAACCAGCGCCTGAATCTTACATATTCTTCTGATATAAGGGACAGGCAAATGTCAGGAAAATTGAGGAAGTTTCAACTTGTGAGACTGAGGAAGTATGAACTGTCCCTTTGATAAACTTGGGTCTCGTCAGCAGAGAAAAGTTTAAATCAGGCCACAGAGGCAGATGGCTAGTTCAGACAACAAAAAGATGGATCTTACCAGAGCCCAGACAGTTTTAATTACAGCATGTAGTTGCAGATCTAGTAAAACCTAAACCAAGTCCAGATGATGATGAGCTGCCCATATTTTGAATTTCTTTCATGTAGATGAATTTCTTCCATGTAGATGAATAGATTCTTCTTGTCATTTTGTAACCTACTTCTCTACCTGGTTGTTAACTTATATTTGTAAACCCAGGTGCTATCCCCCCACCTTGAAGATGTCTAAGTGGCATGTGAAGCAGTGAGAGAGAGCAAGGTGTCTTACACGCTGGGCAGGGGAGGTCAGGAGAAGGATATCAGCTTGCAACAACAGACGGAGAGAGTGAAAACAAGCAAAACTCACAGCATGGAGAGCTGGCAGGGCTGCAGCTGGAGACCGGAAGCGAAGAGAAACAGCCACCACACTTCCAGAGCAGCATCTCATCCAGGATTGCAGAGGGAGGCTGCCCAGAGGTATTTCTGGCCCTGAAGAGGGGTAGAGGGGGGTCAGTTCCCTGTGCACCACAGGGAGAGAGGAGTGGCTGAGCATCCTGGCAGGCAAGGGTTGCGAAACTTGCCAGAGGAACGCTAGGCAGGAGGCAGGCTGAGGCCTGCACACACATGGCTGGAGATAGGCTCCAGAGTGGAGCCTCAGCTGAGGATCTGGGAAGAGAACACACACGGCCTTTGATAATCTCTGGAGCAGAGTGTCAGCAGAGGATCCAGAGGACAGGCCTAAGGAAAAATGCGGTTACAGGTAGAGCCTTGCTGCACATGGGAGAGATCCCAATGAGACTGTGACTTTTCACAGGGGAGCAGGACAGACCTGTGCATAACAGAGACTAGACTAAGTGGTATCTTGACCATTACTATTGGGATTTGAGAGCCTGACCCCGGGTGAAAGGGGACAGACTGAGGCTGATAAGGAGGCTGAGAGCAGTCGGGGTTTTCCTTGGAGGGGGGAAGGGTTGCCTTTTCTTTTGATATTTTGAGCTCAGGCCAAGACCAGCCCTGGAAGGGTGTACCTAATCAAGACCAAAGGTCACCCTGGGGTAGAGGGCCAAACAATAGCACAACAGGCAGTACTGCAACCTGGATGCAGAAAGACTTTTCAGTACCATCTGGAAAGGCTAGGCTGGGGTAAAGGGGAGGTTTGGAGCCCCACAGAAGAAACAAGGATCGAGACCTGGGAATATAATTTCATCAAAGTCATGGCAGGCAAGAAAACATAAGACCAACTTCATGGCAGACCATGTGATCTGAAGCCAAGGTCCACCCTGTCACCGTGTCCCAGGGATGCAGGGCTGACAAATGGGGAAGCCTCAGCCAGAGGCAGACCCCAGGGAGAAGTAAAAATAGAAAAAAACCTACCTGTTGCAGGAGTCCAGGGTAGCGAGGAGGCACACCAGGGAAAAATCGCCCACACAATTTGTCAGCTGCATGTATCTGCAGCTGGAGCTGGGTGACGTCAGGAAGAGACATCACCTGGCGAAGATAAAAACTGGCCCTGCAGGTGCGAGTGGGGGCACGAGGACCATGGAGGAAGCGGCAGGGAGCTGCTGGGCGGGCTGCACGCAGATGCCATGTGCAACAGCTGCGGGAGCAGCAGGAAGAGCCGTGGATGATTTTCGTGATGGGGAAGACCAGCGAAGATCAAAGAAGCCAGCAGGGAGGCCAGTAGCAGCAGCAGCAGAGGGAGCCACAGAGGATCTTCGTGCCGGGGAAGACTGGCAAAGATCAAAGGAGCTGGCAGGGAGGCCGGCAGCAGCAGTGGCAGAGACAGCCGCGGAGGATCTTCGTGCCGGGGAAGACCGGCGAAGACCGTAGGAGCCGACAGCTAAGCCGGCAGCAGTAGCGGCCGTAGGCATGGGGAAGGGGAAATCCCCGCACCAGGAGAGGCTGGGGGAACAGACAAACCGGCAGGGGAGCAGCAGGTGCCATGGTTAGGGAGAGGTGGATCCTGGAGGGGACCAGATAGACCCCCGCCAGGGTACAGGCGTGGTTCCCAGACCAGAGGACGTGCCAGCCTAGGGGGCGAAGGGGGCATGGGGCTTCCCACCCTGTGGGTACCCCTCTTTGCTTTCCTTTCCTTTTTTTTTGCCTCCCACTTGCAGCGTTCCTCCTTTTTCTGGAGTTTCTTTTGAGTTTTGTTACACCGGGAGTTCCCGTCGAGAAGCGCTTCTCTAGGGTGAGCGGTCAGCTCGTGCTTTTCTCTTTCTCAGTTGGATTTCCTTTCGGTCCGGATCTAGAGCAGGGTAGCTTGGCACCCTTTACCAGACCCAGGGAATTAGGGTCACCCCTTGGCGATGGGGAACTACGCGAGAACTCGGTGACAGCCAACAACATCCGCCATGGAGCACATGGGACAGGGCCAAAGACTGAGCATCACCAGGTCCTTCAGAGTGGGCTAGGGTCCAGGGCTTGCATGTAGAGTGGGATGAGGGAACCAGGGAACACATCCAAAGGGGCCAATTGAAAAGGTCCTGAGACCCATCTCATTGGGTGGTGCATGGCCCGGGTGTAGGGGAGGTTGAAGTCCCATAGGCATCTGCCGAGACCCGTGAGAACTCTGGAGGCATCCTCTGAGGGGACCCCCTCCACTGAAGGTCCATCCGAAGTCGTGGCAGATGAGTTTGGGGGTCACCCTGAAAGTCATCAAGGAATCCTCCGGGGTCTACACGAGGGTCCCAGGCAAGTTAGCCCAGTGGCCCAAGCTAAGTCAGCACGGGGACGAGTCACTGAACGGAGGCGGGCACACACTGCCTGTAGGCAAACAAGCTCAGGACAGTGGTAGTAAGCCCTACAACACCTACAGCCACCACATGGCACTTACACAGATTTTAAATGTCAAGTCACTAAATGTGATCTTAGCCAAAATTCCACTCAATTTTCAAAGTGTCTCATGCATCTCCATTTGGGCCTGAAAAGGTCCCTCTGCAACTAGACCTGGCCTAGTATACATTCTAAGTGATCCAGCATTGTCACCTAGATATCTAATTCCATGTATGCTCTGTTGCTATCCATTTCCATGAAAATCCTCATATCCTTAGTTGAAAAGACATCATGTGCAACATCTGTTGGATGCTGACACAATTCAGAGTGCGGCTGGTGGTGATCTGAAAATTTCATCCTGTATCTGTTGTTCCTCCATAACTTTAATTTGTTCAGTTTAAAAATAAACCGATTTTCTCCTTTATACCACTGCCTCTACAGATCCATAGGGTAAGCGTGGTTTTCTCACTGGCCACAAATTCATAACATTTAGCAATAACAACTGTTAAGGAAGTATTTTAAAAAATGAAAACACTAGTCAAAAAGTTTCCAAAGTCAGAAATAAAGATAATCAACTCTTTAATAATAAAATAGAGGCCGTTTAGCCATAGCATAATTGAGTCTCTCACCCCATTCTCATTAAGAAATTGGGGGGCTGTGGCGTAGACACCCACACAGTCAAATGGGTCGCCAACTGGCTGGAGGGCTGCACCCAGAGGGTGGTAGTGGATGGGTCCTTCTCAACCTGGAAGGACGTGGGCAGTGGGGTTCCGCAGGGCTCGGTCCTCGGGCCCGCGCTGTTCAACATCTTCATCAGTGATTTGGACGAGGGGGTAAAAAGCACCCTGTTCAAATTTGCTGATGACACTAAGATGTGGGGGGA